AAAAAAATCAATAATTTTCAATTGTTTGCTTTGTACATTTTTCATTACTAATTTCCCTAGATCCTTCTCCAGAGTTTCTGGTCTCACCATACTTGATCCACTGTCTCAAAGTATCGTAATGCAGTCTTGGTCCCCTTCAGTGCCTCATGCCTGTTGCAAGACCCACTTTTCAAAGGCCCTTTTACATGCCTAATAATATACGAGATCCTTTCGGTAACGGCAAGGCGCAAGTGGCCAATGAAACTGATTGCTTTTCCATGTGGCATGGTGGGTATCAGGAAGCTGTCTCATGCTTCCTGTTGCCTAAATAGAATTCAACATACTTAACTTGAGGAATTTCAAATAATATAAAGCTTGAAACTGAGTGGCATGAAGTGAGTAAGGTCCCCATTCCGGGTCTGCTTCGTTCACCTCAGGGGAGACTTCTTCGATTATGACCTTTGACTGATATTTTCTTCAAGCAGCCTAGTGTTGGAATTTGTAGTACTGAGGTAATTCTTTTCCAGGAGGAAATACATTTCAAGGTTGTTGTATATCCTATAACCAGAGTTCACTATAACTGAGGTTCAGTTTCACTATAACCTAATCTTCTTGTGCTTATTTGTAATGTAAGTGAATTGGGACCAGTGATTTATGTTCACTTTAACCGGTGGTTCATTATATCAGAGTTCACTACAACCGAAGTCGACTGTATATTTTGCAATGTTTTTACTGAAATGTACTTAAATTGAAGACTTTTTCCTTTAGATTTTTTTTTTTCAGTTCTTATTTGGTATATTAATGAGCTGCAAACAATTGAAGAAGGAAATAAAATAAAAATGAATGATATTTTTTAAATATTTGTAGTTGTCATTTAAGTATATTTATGTACATAAACTTACATTAATACTTCATCTCTTTCAGTTGTCAATAATTCTCGGGTAATATTTTCCTGCTTGTGGGAAGTATTGCAGATGCATGTTCTCTAGGTGCAAGCTGATGTGGGCGGATTTTCAGTGCATGTAGAGTATGTGTGTATTTGGTTGCTGGTATAGGGGGGCAGACCTTCCCGACGACGTCCTCGTGCGTCCAGCCACAAAGAATATCGTCTACTGGCAGATGGCACATCAGGAGAGGCCCGCGGAGGCCAGTTAAGTATCCAGCAGTCGTGTGCAGTGTACCGGTGCTTGCTGTGGCACGAGGTGCAGTCTTACCCATTACAGGGAGGACTGTTTCCACCTATCCAAATCACCCTGCAATTAAGATGAGATAGGAAGGATGCAGACAAGAAAATTTTAAAGAAAAATATTGTAGTCCTAAATGTTTTTAAAGACCTTGTATAATACATAAATGTTTTATCTATTCAAATATTTGAATAAACTGAAAAAATAATAATATAAAATTAATATATTTACAGAATTGCACAGTTAGTAATAATTTGTGTTGATGGTAAAGACTAGCATAAATATGAAGTGGGATAACAAGATTAGTATTTCAAGTTTGTAATTTTATACATATATGCATACATAAATGTATATATACATATATATATGTGGAAAAATCTGTTGAAGCCGGTCTCTGATCAAACCGGAAACCTTCCTTAGTCAGAAAATTTCCCTGCTTCATGAAGCTTTATGGCATTTAATACAGAGTAAAATGGAACCAGTTCAATGCGAAAATTGAAACATTTTTCATGGCATGCAAGAGGAAAACCCTTTATAAAGCAGAATGTCTGTGAATATTGCATTTGAGGGTGGTTGTTCTGAGATAGACTCTTAATGGAATATACCTGCAGGTCAGATTTAAGTTCTCTGTCCCTATGAATTGTGATTTCATAGTAAAGCAGCAATGCTGAGGAGAGAGAGTTGTGCTGTACCAATTAAAAAGTAAGTTACATGAATATCAAAGAT